GACAGAGAGAGAGAGAGAGAGAGAGAGAGAGAGAGAGAGAGAGAGAGAGAGAGAGAATGTGAGCTATGAAGCCAAGCATAGTGGTACATGCCTGCAACCCTAGCACTCAGGAGGCTGAGGTAGGAGGATCGCCATGAGTTCAAGGCCATACTAGGGTACACAGTGAACCTGAACTATGGTAGGGAACCTGAACTTGTCTTAAACTGAACCAAAACAAATTGGATAACATGGAATTGCACCCACCCGATTTTATTATCAAAATTATACAAAAGGGAAAAAGTTCAAAACAACTATAGAAAAAAGAAACATTGAAAATTATTAACATCTCATATACTGTTAATAAGAATATAAAATAAAGTTGTATAGTCATTCTAGAAAATGGTAGTTTCTCATAAAAGTAAACATGTAGCTACTGTATGATTCGGCAATTGCACAGTTGGGCGTTTGTCTCAGACAAATGAAAGTTTTTGCTAACAATGAAATCTACACAGAAATGTTCAGAGTATCTTTTTGTTTGTGTTTTTATGTATTTTGTACAGGGCTTCACTATGCAGCTTGGACTCGCAGTGATCCTCCTGTTTTCAGCCTTCCTAGTGCTGGGATTACAGGCATGCACCATCACGCCTGGACTCGGTGGCCAGCTCGACTTGCCCAGGGGTGGGGCCAGAGTGACATACAGTACTGGGGATCGAACCCTGGTCCCTGTGCTTGCCTAAGCAGGCGCTTAGTCCGCTGAGTTATCTTACCAGCCCCAGAGTATCTTTTTCACACCAGAAGCAACCTAAATGTCCTTTAATAAGTGCTAACCAAACTTTAGTAGAGTATATCCATACAACGGAATTCTGCTCTGCAATTATCTGAAAATGAAATACTGATAAATGCAACAATTTAAATGGATCTTAAAGGCCTCAAGAGAAAGGAAAGGAAAAGAGGACTGGAAACCAAGGCTGCGGTGGTCGCTGTTTGCTGTGGTCTAGGGAGGAAGTAGGGAGGAAGAAGTTGACATACGGGATAACAGCTGCCGTCTGCCTCCCAGATCTCAGAACTCACACGGTGCTATGAAGAGGTTCACAGTGTAACAGGTAACCAGCAATGAAAACCTGTCTGTTGCAATGGAAAACCCTTATAAGAAACCTCTTAAGAAGTGTATCTTGTGTGGGAAACATGTGGATTATAGGAATGTATA